GTCGGTCTGTTACAGTGGCCCATCCTCAACCCATCCCCATCTGTGCTCCTGCCTGCTGGGAGCTGTAAAGACCCCATCCCAACCCATTGCTGCCCCAGCCCTGGGGAGAGACAGGAGCTGATGCACATAAACAATCCAGGCACTGTCAACCTCTGTCTTCTCCTCCCTGCTATGGAGTAGGGCAGGGATCAGCAGCAAGCTGTCAGCATGTCTTCCTCAAATTTGGAGGTTGAGAAATAGGAAAACTTGGTGTTTGTGTTCTGCATGAATGCACACAGGAGGGCACCTGTTCACTTAAGCACATTTGCTTGTTGTTTTTTTCTAACCAGACCTAAAAAGCTGGTACTGACACAGCGAGCCCTTTGAACTGGTTTTCTGCACCCACGATCTCTAGCATTCCAGCATCTCTCCTATATAACGAGCTGATACAGAATTACAGCTCATTAGCGAGTGATGCATTGATGCCTAATAATTCCCTCCTTTCTTATTTGAAAGAAAGTGGGTTATGCTGTTATTGAGTTAGTGCATTATGTTTTGATGCTTTTTGACATAGGAGTTGAGGGCTTTAAAAAAATATATGTTAATTAGAAGATTACACCCACATCAACATTAAAGCACGATAGTAACTGTAATTACGGAATGAGCTGCTGCTTCCTCCAAGCATGACATAATATTAAAGAGTCCCGTTGGTCCAATTTTCAGTGGGATGACTCGTAATAAAGAGCAACTTCACCAAGGATGACATTAAAAGAGTGGAACTGGAGAACCAGCCTCAAGCATTTTGTTCTGGCTCAAGGAAAGCTAGAAGGTGGAAGGGAGGACATTGGTTTTGTGGCAGGGATGGGTTAGGAAGCTGCAAAGTCACGATAGGTGTAGGAGGTGTGAACTATTATCAGCTGTTTCTCATTAAACAAAACAACAAGAAAAGATTCGTGGCAGCTATCAAGAGAACTTGCTGGAATTTGGCACCTGGCTCTGTTTCACTTAACTGCTCTTCTAATAGAAACAAATGGCTCTTTCCTCAGGGTGACCTGATGTGCTTCCATCTCAAACTTTCAAAGAGGGAATAAATGCTGCACTACACAGATACATGGATTCTGAAGTGAAATTCAGATCGTTGCCCCAGCTGCATAGGAAAGTCACCTGCCCCTTCTGAAGCACACTCTTTGTTTGCAGAAGTAGAGCTTGCTTCTGGTCTAGTGGAAAAGTTCTGATTTTGGTAGCTGCAACGCATCAACCCTGAGTGCAGACATCAAAGAGCAAAGTTTTTTACTAAGTGAAGTGCTCTACTTTTGTTTGTATAGCTTGAAGACTCCTATGTTCTAATCTCTGTCCTGTCTGATGAATGCAGCTCAGGTAGTGAAGTGGCATTGGTTTTATTTTGTGCCCGTATCACTGCAAAGATAAACAGAGAAGCCTTCTGTCTGCTGCCTCGGTGTAATGCTACTTATCAACACGAGTTCAAAGCAAGCTCCATTTGTATAGGATCAGCTTATCCCATTAAGCCAATCCTTTGACAGGAAAGAAGCTGACTATAAGAGGTAGCAATGCCTGTGAGGCAAGTGAATTTAATGGAGTTTGTAATGGACTGCAGAAATATCAACCAAATGATCAAGAATATGCCCCAAGAAGCAGTTAATTAAGGCTGCCTGCCCACCTCTCAGTTGGTTTAAGCTCACACTGACACCAGCAGGCTTGCTGTCCAGGGGCCCCAATGTTTGCAGCTCCTGGTGTCCCCCTTGCCCATCCCATGGCTGTGGCAGAGGTTTCCATGGGCTCTGGTCCCATTGGGTGCTGAGAGGAGGCCCACAGTGCACTGGTTTCCTTCTGCTTGTGCTCCCAGCATCTGTGATCAAATCATGGAACGGGGCTTCAAGGGCACCTCTTGCCCATTTCTTTCAGTGCCTGTTTACAGACCCCTCGTGCACGAATCCACCCAACTCCTTTCCCCAAGCCCTGTCTTCACAGCCTCCCCAGGCAGCAATTTCCTGTTTGCTACTCTAAAACATGAACTAAAGGAGGATGATTCAGGAGGCCTCCTTTTGATCTGTTTTAAACATACTTTCTGTTAGCTTTAATCGCCTATTTTGGGAGGCTGATGAATAACAGATCTTCGTGGACCTTACTTTCTGCCTTTCTGGTTTTGCAAATCTCAGTTGTGCTCCCCTTGAGCCTCAAGAATGTGGGTCCCATTTGCATAAAGATAATTAGGAGAAATGCTCATTCTACATGTGTATTACCCCAGTTTGCATTACTCTGGATGGACACAGAGGGGGGTGAAGAATGGAACCAAAAAGGGCAGTTAACCTTGCATCTCTGTGCACTCAGGATATAAAAGCACCAAACTATGTGTTAGTTTTAATTACCCCCACAGCCTCATAAAATCACTTCCTTGGTCAATTAATTTAATTACTTTTTGGCTAATTACTTTTCTCAATGGTGAGTTGGCTCCAGACTGTGATAACTGTTGTGCTGCAGAACTGGGAGATGGGGGAGACTTTGGCTTGAATGACACACAGAACATATCAGCAAAATACACATTTATAACATAGACACCTGAATTAATGGCATCTCTTTGGAAGGAAACAGAACAATTTATCCTCTGGATGGGAGAGCAGGGGAAAGCACCTCTTGGCAACAGCAACATTGCTCAAAACATGTCAGAAAGACCTCTTTTTCCCTCTGCAGTCTGTTTTGAGTCAAAATTGAGGATAGCATTTAAGCATTCATTTAACCAGGCTGCAGTGCACCTAGGAGGTGGTGGAAGTGCTCTCTGAATGCAGGTCCTTGGTAGCAGTGCCTTTCAATCAGAGTAAAGACAAAAGCTTGTCTGCAGATAATGAGGAAACAAACTTGCACTGGTGTTAATCATAGAATCACAGAATGGCCTGGGTTGCAAAGGACCACAATGATCCTCAGGTTTCAACCCCCTGCTGTGTGCAGGGTCACCAACCTCCAGCCCAGGCTGCCCAGAGCCACATCCAGCCTGGCCTTGAAACCCTCAGCGCCCTCACCGAAGCAGGGCACGTGAAATCTGAAGCTTCTGAATGTAACTGCAAGCCCAAATATTCGGCTGCTTGGATGAGACGCCCAAGATGGGGATGAAGGAGTGAGCATTAACCAACAGCGGGGCACGAGTCATTAGGAGGTGATCAGTTACAGTAATTGTGGTCCCAAATAAAACCAGTGTTCTGCACATCTCTCACTGCCCTCAGCCCCAGTGGGAATTGTCACAGGTAGAGGTGGGCAGGGAACTACTTGGAATCTTCCTGGTGGAACTGCAATCTCTCATTGGATCACGCTGTCTTAATCAGTTTCACTGTCTGGATGGGAGGAATCCTTGGGAGATAATTTGTAATTACTCTATTTGAGGTAGCACTTAACTGCAAATTACCCAACATAGAAATAAGGATAACTAATGAATGCTCCCCAACAGAAAATTTTTTAAAGATGCTGTTTTATGGAAGGAAGAAAGTTTGCCAGTAATTTGGAGAAGGAGCCAGCAAACACTGCTGCTGCAGTTCCAAATCTGCCTCCAAGCACACGCTGCACTTTTCCTGCTGTCAGAGTAACAGAATGAGGAGATGATGCCTAATGAGGGTCTGCATATTGATGGGATGTGGAAGAGGGGGTTGCTGGAGATGTCCCAGCTAGCTGTGAAAAGGCTGGTTCTGTTGTTTGCAGTAACCCTGTGCTGCTGCTGCTCCTTGAAACCGTTCCGCTCAGATTCTCCCTATGTGTTCATCTGTTCAGCCTTCATCTTTCTCCAGTGCTCATTAATAACCACATTGATTCCCATGCTTGCCCGCTGATGTAATCTCCTTTTCGAGAGCACCTGGATCCATATGAATTAAGCTTGACATCTCTCTCACGGTGTCGTTGAGAACAGCAGCTCTGAGGTCGGTGTGTCTGCCTGCAGCACTGCAGCAAGGCAGGCAGCCCATGTGTGGGGCTTTGAAGTGCAAGGAGAAGAAAAAGTACTGTTGAGGTATTGCCAATTGAACCCGAAAGGTGTATACGAAGGGAAACTCTGATGGACTGCTTGCCTTATTGCTACTTATTCATTTAGAGTGCTTGAATCTACTAAACTTGGTGTGCTTGGAGTGCACAGGGATGTGTCTGGGGAAGGGCGAAGGGAAAATGAGTGGAAGCACAGTGTGTTGTCAGCTGGATGTGCCCAATGACACCACATCTCAGCACCAATGCGGTCTGACTGCAAACTGCAGAAAATAAAGTGATGAGCAAAGGAGAAAAGCATGAAATGCACCAGTAAGTTGACTAACTGAATATCACGTGGTTGTCATAAAAATACAACTTTGCTTCAGGCAGACCAAAGCTACCTACTGCTTTTAGGAATCTCTTGTCGTGCTTGCTGGCAAGGAGCTATGGTTATGGACATGCAACCCAAAGGCAGCTGTAGAACATGTACGTGCTTCTACTGCACATGAATAAATGCATACAAATGGGCACATGTGTCAGGTGTCTGGGGTACCCATCTGGTTTTGGATTAAGTCAATAATTGCAGAAGAAGCCAAATATTGAGAAAATGCTGAGGGACTCGCACAGAAAGTTCCAAACAGTGCAAAGTGAACTTTGTCCAAACCAACGGATCTTTACAATATTAAGGGGTGTAATCAAAGGAGATCAAGCAGCAGATATTGACCATTGGATTGTCCAAAGCTTTTGAAGTAGAGAATTACTCTGTGGGTCCAGCAGCCTGTGGCTGACTTTGGCACAGCGACTGGAGGAACGTGGTGTGGTGGTTTCTGTGCAGCAGAGCTGTGAGTGGAGGCAATGGGGGACAGCTCATAGAATCATAGAATGGCCTTGGTTGGAAGGGACCTCAAGGATCACGAAGCTCCAACCCCTGCCACACGCAGGGCCACCAACCTCCACATTTCATAGCAGCCCAGGCTGCCCAGGGCCCCATCCAACCTGGCCTTGAACACCTCCAGGGATGCACGGGGCATCACAGCCTCTCTGGGCAGCTGTTCCAGCACCTCACCGCTCTCATAGCAAAGAACTTCCCCCTGACATCCAACCTCAATCTTCCCTCCCTCAACTTCAAACCATTTCCCCTTGTCCTGCCATTATCTATCTTTTCAAAGAGTTAACAGGCTTGAGTGGGTCTGTCCAGGGGGGGTCAGCTGCAAAGGAGCCATAAGCACATTGTAATTGAAGTTTCCTCTTGGACTTGAAGGTCTATGCAAAGACACTTCTCTCTGAGCCCAAATTTTCTGCTTTTTACTGCTCTGTATTGTAGCTTGAATGTAGGTAGAGTGTGCGAATACCTGACCTTCAAAACAGCAGAGAATGGAAAAAATTAAGCAGATTAATATGCTGCTATTTCAGCATGCGTAGTAGGTGGTATTTTTGGCTGCCAAGCCCCGTTCTGTGAATATGAGACATCGAGGCCACAGATATTTCAACACACGTTTTATCAGCAGTGCAAACAGACACTTCACACGCGGCGTTTTGCATACAGAACTTAATGCATTCACTCCAGCACGTTATTTATAGCACCGAGGCGCAGTCATGAGGACAGCTGATCTGTTTGTGTCGCCTCTGTAGGCTGCAGGCATATGCTGGAGTGCGTGTGGCAGGGAAAGCACGGCGGAGATGGGCAGAAGTCCTTCAGAGATCAATTATCCAGGTGCTGCCTGGAAAACGGCCTCACCAGCAAGGGAGGAATGATGCTGTGTTTGCTAACAGGAGTCTCGTTGGGCACAGAGAGAGGGCTGCTTGGTCCCACCAGCACCGTGCTGTGGGATTCACATTCATAGGTTTAAATGCAATCTAAGGGCTAAAGAAAAGCAACAGAAAAACTAACGTGGCAAGGCTGAGAGGAATGAGAGAGAATTCCATGAGAGGAAGATGGGGTTTAGTAACATCTTTCAATGTAGTTACTCAGATCCCCAGCAATAGGCTCATTAAAATGTGCTTGTACTGAATATAAACTCAGAAATGATCTGGTAGAGACTTTATTGCAGTGATCGTAAATTGGGGCGATAGAGTTCAGTTTTCTCTTCAGTGCAAATCATTTCAGGTCTCAAAGTCATTACAAATAGATACCTGAAGCTCACCAGGTGGGAGAGCACCCAACTGGTTCTGGTAGAAAACCCAGCATCTTCCTTGGAGCAAAGCAGGGCACGGATCAACAGACATCAAACGAAGAGGTCCCATTCATTTGTGAGTTGAGCAATGCAATAGATGTGCATTTCTTATTCACTAGAGGGAGTACGACTCGAGCAGCAGCAGGGTGTGTGCTTGGACTCCCTGCTCTCAGCCCTGCTTTTAGAGCTGAAATCCAGATGACTTCTCGTTATCGCTGTTGTTAAGTACAAAATATTTCATTACCCTCACGGCCATGTGCAGGAGCAGGGAGGGTTTGTATCCGTGGTGTGCAGGAAATGGGATTGATTCAGTGCGGGAGGCATCAATAGGTCTGAGTAACTGCAGCCATGCTTAAAAAATAGTAATAGTGAGAACTGTGGTTGGTAAGTGGAGGGAGGCATTTATTCTGAGTGCCACGTGTGTCACACTGCTTGGCTGTCACCTGTCTGAGGGGTTTCCTCCCCCCTTTTGGAACAAACCTCACTGCGATGAGGAAAGGGACTGTATGGAAATCTGAGGCTCTGTCCTCCGCCTGCATTGCTGGAGGCTTTTCATAGAATCATAGAATGGCCAGGGTTGGAAGGGACCTCAAGGATCATCAAGCTCCAACCCCTCTGCTATAAACAGGGCCACCAACCTCCATATCTAATACTAGCCCAAGCTGCCCATGGCCCTATCCAAGCTGGCCTTGAACACCTCCAGGGATGAGGAGCATCCACAGCCTCTCTGGGCAGCCTGGGAGCCTTTTCAGTGCTCTTCTTTTTACCTGTAGGTGTCCATGCTCACAAATACCAATGGGGCATTCTTGAAAATACACTGTTCTTTGAAGCAGAGGGGGGAAAAGTGCTTCATACGCTGTAATTTCTGTTTTTCTTTACATTTTTGCTTTGAAATGTTCCAATCTCCTCTCCAGCATGCAGCCAGCCCTGAGCTGGGGTGCTCACCAGGGGTGGAGAGCACTGCTCTGACCAAGCACTGTGCCCTGGTGCCCTGGGATTTCTTCCTGCTGCAAACCCAGCCCCAGGAAACAAATCGTTATTCGTTATTTGCTATAATCCGCTGTAATCTGCTTCATCTCACAGCTTTCAGCCAATTCTCTGCTGAAGGTGTGCTTTAATGAGCACTGATTTCTGCCTTCTGCTTTGGGCACGGGCAGCATCCAGGCAGCAGATCTGACCATCGCTCCATGTTCCCCCAGGTTTGTGCTGCCTGCTGTATTCAGAGCTCTCGATGCTTCTGCCTCTACCCTGAGCTCTCATCTCTGCCTTTACAAAGTGGCTCCACGGAAAGGCAGAATAAAATAGGAGTTGTCTTCAGGAAAGCAAAATGAGGGCAGTGAGCAGCGCTGCTGAGTTGCTCCTTGCAGAGCGCAGGATCCAGAGTGCTCTCATACAGTGCAGAAAGATTTTCTCCCATTCCTTTCAGTGCTGACTTCTGCAATTAGGACATCTTCATTAGTGCCTGCTTTGCCTCCCTATAAAACTACTAAATATATAGGGGAGAAACAAAAGAAATAGTAATAATAGTAATAATAAAGCTGCAATTAGCAAGGTCAGATGCTGCAAGTGGGAAATCTGAATAAAGACAGTGGCATGTGTGAGTTACAGCTGTGAGTCAGCCCAGAGTCAGCATGGATGGCAATAGCTGCCCCTGGATGGTCTCCAAGCCCTAATTCTGTGCAGAAATAGGCTCTGAGAGGGAGTCCTGTGCCAGCTGTTGGCCTCAGGACTGTGCACTGCTGCTGAGGACAGGAGGGATTCCTCTCGTGTGCTTCAGGATTTTGTATTTTGACAGTGAATTTGAGCACTCAGATCCATTTCAGGAGGGCTGTGCTTCTGCAGCATGGGGCAGGGGCAGTGGGGATGCTGCCAGCAGCGGTCTGGTCTGAAACTCTGATGGGTTTTGGTTTTGTTTAAAGTATTCCAGGTCTCCCACAGCACAGCATTCAGCATTTGTCTTCCCCACAATTTGGGCTCTGAGGTGCCCACATGTTTCTTCACTGTGTACCTTCTGCACAGCCCCAGTGTGCTCTGTTTTTCTTACCAGTGGCAAGCTTCCCTTTCCTGGGGAAAGAAGTTTGTTTCCCTTTGTCCCTGCACTGACTGCTCTGCCACCTGTGTTCCTGACAAGGAATGCTGCCTGTAGTGAGCAGCAATGCTGGCACAGGGGCTGCAAGCAGTTTGGTCCACGTGGGGTAACGGGATCCAGGAGTGCTCAGCAGTGGGCACAATGCAGAGTGAAGCTGTGTCCCACAAACATCACGGATCCTTGAGGCCCCATATGCCAACATCACGTTCCATTCAGCTGAATGGCACTCAGCTCACACACACAAGGTACCCACAGCATTTCCCATCAGCAGAGGTTACAGCAGCAGTGTTTTGGAAGACATCACAGGTGTGCAGTGGGGACAGAACCATGGAGGGGCTCTGTGCTGTGTCTGCAGTGCTGGGGCTGTGGGGCTCTGCTGTGCTGAGCCAGAGGGTGCAGCCGCTCACGTCAAGGTTAATTGCAGCCTCCACAGCCGTTCCCTACAGTCAGCCAAGCTCTCCCTGCAATGCTGCCAGCAGCGAGTCCTGCACCTAGCAGAGGGAACAGATGGCTGTGGTGATCTTTAATGGGCTGTCATAGAAGTCAGAGCCGTGGAGCAGCTGCACTGGAAGCTCTGCTGTCAGTTCTGATGCTTGGTGCAGAGGGAGGAGGAAAATTGGCATTTTGGGGAAGAGTTTCTCCTCTAAACCTCCAGCTCACTGACTGCTCATCTCACAAGGTAAAGGGGAGACGATGTGTCTTAAAATTTCTGCAGCATCTCAGCAGTGGGAGCGCTGAGATTGCGCAGGTCTTTCCAATGGTCGGTGTCTCAGGAGGAAAGGAATGGCTGCCAGATTACAGAAACATTTGTGGAAGATGCCTTTGTTTAGAAAAGCCCGCAGGGCAAAGTGTACAAGAAAAAAAGAGAGAAGTCTCAGTGCCATCAGAACACCTTCAGCAGAGCCCTACAAAGCAGAGTGCCTGACCAGAGGGGGGATGGCAGCGGGCTGAGCTGGGGACAGAAGCACAGCCCCATCTGTGGAACATCACAGGGCAGCCACAGACAGGGGAGGTCTCAGCCAAGCCCAGCAATGCTTGTCCTCCCAGCATTTGTCTTGCCAGCATCTGCCTGGATGGGAGCTGAGCTGCAAAGCACCCCGGTGTAAACCCCTTCCTCTCAGCCTCACCGGGCCCCTTCTGATCTTCAACTGCGTCGCAGAGCAACAAGTTGGTAATGAAACCCAGGCAGCCATAAATCACGCCTGTCTCAGCCTGATAGCCAGCAGCTGAGGAGATAACAGTGGATCTGTCCCGACTGAGGCTCGCACAACAGGCGGAGACAATGGGTGAGGATAGCGCAGCAGACAGTGAATTATCTTTGCCATCTGCTTTCTGCTAACATCCATTTATAGAAGAAACTAACATTTGGAAACACTGAGTGCTGATTGTGGTGCCTGCGGGATAATTTTCCACTGGATACAATTAATCATTAAACCAATGGAAGACGTACATCCGAGCATTGTTCCAGCTGCAAGTGAAGCACCTGCTGAGATTTCCAAGTTCAGCAAGCGGGAAGTTTGCAGAGGCTCCATCACTTCCATGGGGCTCCGCCAGAAACCACACTGCTCTCCTGCAGAGCAGAGAGGGCAGCAGGATGGCAGAGTGTGCTGTGCAAGGAGCAGTGGGCCGCCAAGAATGCTTGGGAGGAACCTTTGGATTTGCTGGTTCCCATAGATGTGGTTGGCTGATGGAGGTTGTGTGAGTGCAGGGTGGGTTGGCACCATGCTCTGCTTGCTGCCCTGCGTGCAGTTGGAGCATGGTAGCCCTGGCGTGGGGAGCCAGGCAGGCTCAGGAGCAGCAAGTGGTAATCACAATCAATTACAGTTGATTAAAAGCCTTGGGAATCCAATA